AGAGAATGCCCCACTGTGGCCAAATAGGGAACTGAGAAATATTTTCAGTAACTCTTAAGGGGTTTGTGCTCTGCTTCCTTTGTAAAACCAGTTACTGTGTCCCTCAGAGCACAGTAATACACCGCTGAGTCTTCCTCTTGAGCTGATAGTTTTTTCAGATGGAAAGATGCCTCACCCTTGTTGAGGTCAGCCGTGAAACCTCTGATACTCTCTCTTGAGGTGTGTCTCAGGAGTAACTGGAGCTGTTGTTTGGGGTAGTGTACATACCAGAAGAGCACAGGACTCCCAGAATATGAGTAGTTGCACTTCACCTGCACTGGGGACCCTTCAAAGACGGAGATGTGGTCCTCAGGCTGAGTCACTGTCTGGGCTCTTGTTCCTCCTGTAACACCAGTTCTGGATCAGGGATTGTCTTGCAGACAGAGGAGAATAGTTCGTTAAACTGATTCTAAATCAGAAGACCAGAGAAAGATAGAATAAAAAGAGATTTACTCACTGAGTGTGAATATCATCACGAGCACTGAGATGAGGGTGGGCTTCATGTCTGAGCTGTGAGGAAACAGGAAGCTCCTTTCTGCAGGTTTTTCCTGGAAACAGTTCAGCCACATGGACACCCTGACAGAGCAGTGAGTGAGTTTACACTGGCATGCAAAGTAAAAACTCTTCCTCAAAGGGCTGGCTGCTTTCTGGCTTTCTATCGAGTTCAAGTTGTGTAGCATCTTCCTCTAGAGGCCCTATCTGATACTGCAGATAATCTCGGGCTTCAGGAGGCCTTCAGTTCTGAAACAGAATGGTGAGGGATTTCCTCCACAGTTAGTAAGACAAAGTGTAATGCTGTACTAAGTGAAGAAGCATGTTACCAGAAAGGTCCAGATAGAGATATCGACGGAACATAATAGAAAGTCCAAACATACAAATTATTTATGGAAATTTAGTTATCAAAAAATAGGGAAAAGATGGTATATTCAGTAAAATATGTCTTCATGAATGGAGAGTCATCTAGAGATCAGCAACTAAATTTGGATGCATACCTTAACATCAGCTATGAAATAAATTCCAAATAGAGATAATTAATATTTTAAATAAAATGAAAGCATATTTTAATCAATTTTGGATGGTCATGAATTTTCTAAACATGAGAGTCAGAAAGAATAAGGGAAAATATTGATAGATCAGCCTTCACAGAAATTTAAGCTTCTGTACAAGTATGTTAATGAAATGTGTAAACATTACCATATCAAGGTATTTTCCATTCATCATCATTGATTGTGACCTTCCTCACACCAGGAACGGCCCTTTAGAATTTTAGTTGTACAGGTTTTTTTGACCTAAGAATAAGGCAATTCTAGAAAGATGGTAGATTTAAAATGTCCCTGATCCCCTGTGCTTAGCCAAGGAGCTTCTGTGGAAGCCAGCCATGCTGTGCCAACAGAGCTTAAGTGAGGTATCCCATTGAGGCTCATATAGAAATCTGGGGTCAGTAGCAGGGAACTCCAGGATGAAGAGCAGAAAACAATAGGTTGTAGAGAAAGCTTGGCATGTACAGATCAATGGACATGTAAGAAGGAAACTAGTTGTTTGGGGAAAGCCTTTCCTCTAGTCCCCAAATAGCTGAGAAGAAAGTAACAGGTAGGCTGAGTCCCAGCTGTCCTTAACGAAGAGGAGTAGAAGGAGATTGGAGAGCACAGAGATTTCCTTCTAGTTTTTCAGCAAGGTACTAGCATTGCTGCTGGGACCAGTGCCCTACTGTCTGCTACGTTGCTGATCACAGGTAAAGAAATATCTAGGCTTTCCACCCTCACAACATTGCCTTCACTTAAAGTGCCCCAGTAATCAGACATGTCAGGAAGGAGTAAAGTAAGGGAAAGGATACCTCAGAGAAAAATAAGGGCTTCATCTGGGGGAAATGTAGCCTGAAAAAATTATCAGAGTCAGTGACACAATTTCCCTAGCCAAAAATCAGGACACATAGTTTGACAGTGATCAAGAATTAATTTACAAGGAAGCTCTCACAAAGAAAGAATATCTCACTCAATGCATTATTTATTGAATCTCTTAGAAGAAAACATAGGAAAAATACTCTTTGACATAAATCACAGCAAGACCTTTTATGACCCACCTCCTAGAGTAATGAAAATAAAAACAAAAATAAACAAATTGGACCTAATTAAATCTACAGATTCGGTGCAATGCGTATCAAAATCCCAATGACATTTTTTACAATCCTAAAATTCATATGGAATCGCAAAGGACCCCAAATAGCCAAAGCAATCTTGAGCAAGTAGAACAAAGAGGGAGGCATTTCACTTCCTGATTTCAAAATATAATACAGGGCTTCCCTGGTGGCGCAGTGTTTGAGAGTCCACCAGCCGATGCAGGGGACACGGGTTCGTGCCCCAGTCTGGGAAGATCCCACATGCTGCGGAGCGGCTGGGCCCGTGAGCCATGGCCGCTGGGCCTGCGCGTCCGGAGCCTGTGCTCTGCAACGGGAGATGCCACAACAGTGAGAGGCCCGCGTACCGCAAATAAAAAAAAATTAATAATAATACAAAGCTTTTGTAATCAAAACAGTATGGCACTGGCATAAAAACAGACTTACAGGCCAATGGAACAGAAGACTCCAAATTATTATTTGTGATTTGAATCATACGATATGCTTAAAAAAACTGCCCTCCAAAATATTGTAAAAAGTTTACACACACAGAAGTTGAGCCTCCCTGAATTCAAAATTTCATAATTTCTAGTGGCAGAAAAATGAGTCATTCAAAATGTTGAGCCTGGAAGGCTGCCTCAAAATAAACTAACAAACAAAAATTAAGAAAAATACAAAGCCTTAAACCTCAACCTCTCTACACATACACACACACACACGCAAATTTAAAGATTTAAAAACAAAATTAATCTGAGAAAAACTAAAGAAAATATGAGATAAAATTTTATCATTTTAGAGTGCTACAGATTTTTAAGCATGAAATATAACTCAGAATCCATAAAAGAAATTTTTCAAAAATTTACTACATACTATTTTTAAAATTCTGCCTGCCAAACAATCAAGACCATAAACAAAGTCAAAAAGGTTATATTAAACTTTTTTAAAAGACACATATATGTGACAGTCTTATGACAATTTTCTTAACATAGACAATGTCCTTTAAAATCTATATTTAAATGACTATAACACAGTAGGAGATGGGAAGATATATGAATAGACAATTTATACAAAAATATATAAATGACTTTTAAATGAAATGAAGCTCCATCTCATTCATGAATTTTAAATTATTAAATTTTTTTTAAAAAGCCTAACTGATAAACAACAGTCCAGAACCTTAGTAATACACAAGGTTTGGGGAAAATAGATATTCTGCCTAATCATGACTATTGGTGGTAAAACTTACCTAGAAGAAAATTTAGTTGAATCATATAGACTGAGTATGCTACTTTCTTGAATAATAATTTTTTCCTTGAAGTGAATAGTTAATTATTACATTTTAAAATTTTAATTATTTTGGCTTACTTACTTATATGTGGTGTTGCTCAATTCATCAATGGCTAACTTCCAATTTTCTGCTGGGTTTGGGAAATGATCACTGCTTGTTATAGAGGCACTGGTAGAGAACATGGGTAGTCTGCTGCTTATTTATTTTCAGTTTTCCTATTTTCAGCCTTCACTCCCTGAATGCCCTCAAAACACACAAACACACACAGCACCATCCACCCTAATTATTCAAGTGTAATTAATGCTTCTGGTTTCTAAACCCTTCCACAGGGGTACAGCACACATCCAAGTGCTTCTTGTTTCTTCTTACATTGGCCCCAAGTCTCATTGTTCATGTGACTTTACCTTGAAATTACTTTGGCCCTGGATGAGGAACTACTGATGTCAGACTCTTTTTTCAAAATCACTAATGAAGAGCTGGGTATGGGGAATATTCACTTCTTGTTCTTATTCTCTAGAAATTTGTATGAGTTTTGTATCAACCAGAGACTGAGGGACAAACCACCATAGACTGTGCCACAGAGTGGATCAAATGGAGAGACACTCAGCCTCCAGGCCCCTTGTTGCCACTCAAAGAGTTTGTGCTCAGCTGCCCCTGCGGTTCCCATCACTGTGTCACTCAGAGCACAGTAGTACACAGCCGAATCTGAATCTTGGACTGAGGCTTTCTCCAAGTGGAAGGATTTTGATTCTTTGTGGTATGTGGCTTCAAACTCCTTATTGGTTCCCTTTTCATTGTCCTTCATGGCTTTCAGAAGGACCTGTGGACCTTCTCCAGGATATTGAACATACCAGAAAGTAGTGGGGTACCCAGTGGCTGAATAAGTGCAATTTATGGTCAAGGCAGCCCCTTCTGGAAGAGTCATTTGGCCATCCATCTGGGTCACTGAGTCTTCACGGGTTTGTCCTGGGGAAAAATAAAAGAGTTCTGTATCATCTTAGGCATAAAGCTCTGGGATAAAATTATGATGAAAGGTTTTGTTGACATAACAGAAGAAAGAATCCAAATTTTTAGAGGCATTTTGCTTACCAAGCACTAAGAGTATCACAGTCACTAAGCCTGGAGAAGCGTTCATCTCTAGAGTGTCTCCTGAATAATGTCCTTGACTCTTCACATGAAGAAACATTGAAGTCACAGTGAAGTGATAAACCTAAGCCTAGTTTCAGACAGGAAGTGTGTTTGTGTTAGGAAACTGCACCCCCTGGTGGACAGACACTGAAATGGGATGCACGTTTCCTGGTCTCCTCAAGTCAGAAAACTGTTATCCTTGACTTCATTCATGAGGTACATGCCAGTCTTCAGGTGGTGCTTGGAAATCTGATCAAGAGCTGTCATAACTTCTCAGGTCTGTTTTGCTCTTAGGACCCTGCCTGACATGGAAGTTCTTTAACAGAGCATCCCAGGTATTTCTGCAGCTGAGAAGATATCAGTTTTCTTAAGCACTTTATATAGTACTTTATATTCTCAGGTATCCATGGTGGGCCAGCCTATAATCCACTGAGTGTCAGAAAAGAATCTGAGGTTGATTACAGAGGAAGCCAAATCAGTACTGAGTGAATCTCTGTGTTTCAGCATTGTACCCCAATTTATAGAGCAACAGTGACTGACATGTATTACATGCTCACT